CATAAATATGACCCCAGTAACTAAAAGAGAAATTAAAGATATAATTAAGTCATTAAAATGGAAGAATTCTAAGGGATATGATATGAGATTCCACAAAACATCCTAAAAATAAGTATGCCTTTTATTTTATCCCCATTAGCTTACATATGCAATAAATCATTGAGTTTAGGTATATTTCCTACTCGATTAAAATATTCACAGATAAGTCCTATTTATAAAAAGGGAGACAAGACAGTTATGACCAATATCCTTGCTGACATATTTTTGAAAAATTTTTGAAAAGGTCATTTACAGTAGAGTTCAACATCATATGGATGCTAATAATATTCTTGCTCAAGAACAGTAGGGTTTTAGAGCTAAACCATCCACTGATATAGCTACATATAATCTAATAAATACTATTTTATTGGCACTGAATAGTAAATTATCAGTGGGAGGACTATTCTGTGATCTAACCAAGGCATTTGATTCTGTAAATCACAATGTATTATTATCCAAACTACAGTTTTATGGTATTAATGGCAGTATTGGAAGATTGATTAAATCCTACCTGAGTGACAGATATCAAAGAACATTAATAAATAATAATTATTCTATGGGTATTTCTGATTGGCAGAAAGTTAAACAATGTGTGCCACAGGGTTCAATATTTGGCCCCTTGTTCTTTCTTTTATATATTAATGCCTTGCCTTACATAATAAATAAAATATCAAAACCAATTTTGTATGCTGATGATACCAGCATACAGTGTTACAATTCTGATTCTGTGGAACATATAATGCTATTGAAAACGGTACTGAACAATATAGACACATGGTTTATGAATAATCCGTTATCATTAAATTTTAACAAAACTAACTGTGCATTTTTCATCAAAAGTAAATACTACATCAAACATAAATCTAAACTATAAAGATGTTCAAATTAAAAATACTTTTAATACATAATTCCTAGGACTAATCATAGATAATACCTTATCATGGAAAGATCAAATAAATCATTTGTAACTAAGCTGAATGTGGCTAGTTATTCTGTTGGAACCTTATCTGCAGTTATGACTCAGGAGAGTTTAAGAATGATTTATTTTGCATATGTCATATGGAATAATATTTTTGGGCAATTCAACTCATAGTAATTTAATTTTTAAAATCCAAAAACGAATAGTGAGAATTATTATGAAGGCAAGAAAAAGGACTCTTGTCGTCCATTGTTCAGGCAGTTAAATATTCTGCCCTTATATTCTCAGTATATATTTTCTGTATCAATTTTTGTTGTTAAGAATTTAGATATATTTAAATTTAATTCTGCTATACACAACATTAACACCAGACAAGGTTTTGACATACATTTTCCACGTAATAAATTAGGTAAAGTGCAGAAGGGTGTATATTATTCAGGAATTAGGATGTTCAATAATCTACCACAAGGCATCAGGAATCTATTAAATGATATTACTAAATTCAAACAGGCTGCTCTAAAAGAGTTTCTTCTTGCTGGTTCATTTTATTCTTTAAATGAATATTATGAATGGAACAAAAGGGGTGATCTTGGTTCTTATAAATAATATCTAAAATTAACCTTAACAAGTCCAATTAACTAACTAAAACTATATAAATAATCATCTATTTTAGATCTGCATACATACCAACTATGACTTTTATTTTAACATACAATCTCTTGTTGTTTTATGAATTTATTTATTTATTTATGAATGTATTTATTACCATAATAATTTTTAGTACACTTCTGAGAGAAGTTATTTATTCCTTTTATTGTTCATGCATGTTAGATGTTTTTATAGTTTCTCTTTTGATGTGCAAGTGATGTAACATACATTACAGTGGAACCTCGCTTAATGAGCACCTCTCATAATGAGTAATTTGCATAACGAGCAAAACAAATTGTAAAAAAAGGACTCGCTTAACGAGCGACATTTCGCATAACAAGTGACGAGAGGGGAAGTCCTGGATTGTGCGCTTGCTACATCAGTCTGTGTTTAGCACTCGTTCCGCTAGCATCTTAGTGTCGCTTGTGATCACACATTTTTCCAAACTTGTGTTCAGACATTATTTGTGATTTTTTTTTGTGCAAAGTTTAATAACCATTGCAAAAATGTCCCCGAAGAAAAAGCAGCAAAAAGACAGCCATAAGAGAATAAAAATAACTGTAAATGTAAAATCAATGAAAAGCAAGAACGAGGTGTGAGCGTGGCTGATCTAGCACGCACATACAATCGGTCCAAATCAATGATTTGCACTATCCTCAAGAACAAGGACAAGATTAAGGAGATAGATGCTTCAAAGGGAGTGACAAGAATATCTACGCAACGGTTACGTATTCTTGACAATGTTGAAAGGTTGCTCCTGATATGGATAAACTGCAAGGCGACACTAATAACGAGAACATCATTTGTGAGAAGGCGAAAGTGATTTTCGCCGACCTCGTTAAGAAGACACCAGGATCATCAACGGCCGAAGAAGCATTTAAGGGAAGCCGTGGGTGGTTTGAGAAGTTTAAGAGAAGAACCAGCATCCACAGCATTGTAAGGCCCAGTGAAGCAGCAAGCTCCAACACAAAGGCAGCAGAGAACTTCATCGGCACCCTCAAGAAGCTCATAGATTCTGAGGGTTACCTGCCGCAACAGGTTTTTAATTGTGACAAGACGGGTCTCTTCTGGAAAAAGATGCCGAAGCAAACCTATATAACAACAGAGGATAATGCATTGGCTGGCCATAAGCCAATGAAAGACCATCTCACGCTGCTATTTTGTGCCAATGCAAGCGGCAATTTCAAAATTAATCTGCTGCTTGTTTACCATTCAGAAACTCCATGAGCCTTCAAGAAGTGTAAAGTCCAGAAGAGCAGGCTAAATGTGATGTGGAGATCCAACAACAAGGCTTGGGTGACACGTGACCTTTTTACTGATTGGATCAATGAAGTGTTTGGTCCTTCTGTGAAAAAATATTTGCTTGAGATGAATCTGCCGCTCCATGTCTTGCTTGTTATGGACAATGCTCCTGCCCATCCTCCAGACCTACAAGATGACCTCCTTGAAGAATTTAAATTCATCAAGATCCAGTTTCTGCCTCCCAACACCACTCCGTTACTCCAGCCTATGGACCAGCAGGTTATTTCTAACTTTAAGAACCTGTACACTAAAGCACTCTTCGGGCGTTGTTTTGAGGTGGCTTAAGGGAACAATCTCACTCTCAGAGAGTTTCGGGAATATCACTTCCACATCGTTGCCTGCCTCAAGATGATCGAAAAGGCGTGGGAAGGGGTTACCAAGAGACCCCTCACTTCTGCTTGGAAGAAGCTTTGGCCGGAGAGCGTTGTTGAATGTGACTTTGAGGGGTTTGAGATAGTACGTGTGGAGCCTGTAGTCAACGAGATCGTGTCTTTGGCCAAGATCATGGGGCTGGAGGTGGATAACAATGATATCGATGAGCTTGTGGAAGAGCACAGCCAAGAGCTAACCACCGAAGAGCTTATGGAGTTGCATTGTGTTTCACAGCAAGAAGTTGTGGGGAGAGTTTGTCAGAGGAGGAGGTAACAACAAACCAACAATCTTCTGGCGCAGTAAGAGAAATGCTGAAAGCATGGGAAACTATTGCATCGTACATTGAGAAGCATCACCCTAATAAGGCAGTAGCTATGCGCACTACAAATTTATTTAATGATAATGCTGTGTCGCATTTTCACCAAATTTTGAAGCGTCGGCAGAAACAAATGTCTCTAGACAGCTTTCTGGTAAAAAAGAATTAGATATGTATCCCCCTCTTTCGCCCACCAAACCATATATGGCCATAATCGCTGTTCACTCTTCCCATTGGTTCCCCCTCCCAAACCCTCCCCCCCTGCCTAATTCATATAAACCAGCACTTTTCACTTCCCAATCATTGCAGCTACAGCTATCTGTATTCGCATGCAACTAAACTACCCTGAAGATGGAGGCGATATGTTCCTCCGAATCGTCGATTAAAACCAAGAATACACGGCG